AAAAGATACACAGTATGTATTTTAAGTAGTGACAGTATTTTCACCGTATTAAAATAGTAGTGAAGCAAATGTTCAGCTCACATTAAACAGCACTCTGTCACCAAGGACCAGCTTGCTAGCATCATATATTCCCCCAAGAAAGATAATGCTGCTTGCTTTAACAGAATCATTGTCACCAGGCAACAACAAGTGCCGCTCAGTAATAAATATTTTCACTGTTCCCACAGAAACCAGCTCGGCATCTCAACCTGCTAGCGCCTAGAGAGATCAGTTTGACCTCCCAGAGCCATTTCCTTGCAAAGACACAGCCATCCCTCACCATGAGCATCTCCAAGAAATACTGGGACAGCGCTGCACGAACACCACGGGTCACAAAAGTACAGCAGACAAGGCCCTCTTCCTTTCAGCTACAATGGTTTGAGAAGATTCAAAAATTCATTTTTTACTTTGCAAATAAATTATTTCAGTCCCAAGTGTAACAATTCTCTTATGGAGAGTCAAGATGGCATCTATCCTAGATGCTGGAAGGTCACTTCATAGCTATGCTACAACTCTGCATAAAGAATGTCTCAGAGGCAGCTTCTTTTTTAGAAATTCAGATTTGGGCCAGTTGGGTGTTGTCAAGTGTTAGTAGTAGGCCTGAGGCTTCCTAACAATACCAGGCTCCAAGACTTACCACACTTTGTCCAAACTGAAAATACTTAAGCTTGAATTTAACTCCATCTCCACAGTTACCTAAAAAACCTCAGCTACGCCTACATCTTGTTCCACAGTCAGGAGACCACTGCAGTGGCTATTCCAGCTGCAACATCAGAACCACACCAGTGTCAGAGATGTATTGATTGTTCTGCAAAAACATACTTGCTTTTGGTTAGATTATCATCCAACTTTTCTCATTTCAATCTTGTCTAGCTTTGGACAAGTGTATGGTTCTATTCCTTCCCCCAAACCTAAGTTTTATATGGAGAAAGAGATTAATAACTAATTCTATTTGGAGAGAAAAGCATGCAACTCGTTAACAAAGCATTAAAACAAAAAAGCTGAAATCCCCACCACTGACATTGGGTTTTGCCTATGCAGGAAACTGGAGGCTGATGGTTCTGTCTCATAAAGCACTGGCAGGGAAAGAGCTTAGGAGCAGAGGAAGTGGGCAGACAGTGGTGCCCATTGATTTTACTGCATTTGTAAGGACCCTCAAGAGAAACCAAGTAATTTGAGTTATTCCTTCAATTGGAGTAATAAGTAGTAGTTCTATTTCAGATTAGACAGCTAAAACATTAGAGTGATCCCAAAAGTCATCCTTTGATCCTTACATACAGCATCTTGCACCTGTTCATCAAGAAACTGCACACAATATAATCCCTACAAGCAACCAAAGAAATAAAACAATGCGATGGGAAGAAACCTTTGGACACAACAGGCCTTCAGTATTCTTTTAAATCCTAAAATAAGTTACTTGCTGGAAAACAAAACATTTCACCTCAAAGTGATCACTGTAGTAACTTTTTTTGTCCAGCAGCCTGGAAGTTCTAAATCCCAGCTCTCAGTCACACGAGCATGAAAGCAATGTGACAGAGCAGGTGTACGTCTCCCAAAGCTCTCAAGCTGAGCTGCTGCCTGTCACGTCTATCTCATTTCAGGTGAACTTTGACAACTCACATTTGTGGGTTAAAGAGAAACTGCCCTGTTTGGGGTCAAAGGGAGGAAGGTTAAAGGAGATGAGAACAGCTGCTCATTCCAGAAAATGCCTGTGGGAAATCTACACACTGCAAGCAAAGAGGATGAGTGTGCTCAGGTGCGCATGAGGGGGATGCAAGCCAAGCAGAACTTTTGTGGGAGCCCAGGCTTTTGGATGCTTTAGAAACAGCCTTCAATTGGGCAGAAGGGAATTAGGGAGTGCAAAAGTTCAGCATTCTGCAGAGCCTCTTCTACTTATTGGTTGGTTTTTTGTTGTTATTGCTTCTGGTGCCAGTGGGCTGATTTTTATTTTTACTCCCTGGCTTTGTTGTTTTTAATCTTAGCTAATTATCTAGTTGTCTTTTTTTTAATAACAGGTTTAGTTTTATCCAACAGATGAGTTAACAGGCTTTGCTGGAGCTTAAAAGATGGATTCCCGAGGCCTTTGCACTGGCCCATCTACAAAAAGCTATTTTCAGCCAAAATGGGCAGCAACATTAAGGGAAGCATGCGCTACTCTGCTACTGATCTTAAGTACGCATGGACTCAGCTGTTTATGAACTATGATTCAGAGTAATCTGGGCACATCACAGCACCCACACTTTTCAGGCACAGCAGATTAACACCATCACCAAGAAACTGCAAAAATTCAAGAACTTGCTCCTTTTTCATTACCTCTGCAGAACAAGACAACAGTGAAGCAGGGCAGTATGCTGAAAAACTGCTTCTCCTCCAGATCACTTAAGTCAAATAGTCATCAATTCCATACTTTTCACTGTAACCCAAGTCACAGCATACTCCCAAAAAACACAAACTCCCAAATAAATCAAAACTCTAAATCAACAAATGTACGGGATCATCAGACTAAGAGACTGAGCACATAACTACCTTTACAGGTAGTTTCACCTTTACAGATGAACAGGCTGCACTGGGAAACTCAAACAGCAAAAGAGATGTAGCAAGCCATGAACTACAAAAGCAGTTTGTATCTACCCTGGTAATCACTTCAGGAAAAGAACTGTTACAGTTCCTGTCCTGTTAAACAAAATACAAAAGCTTTCTATGAATAATGAGAGTGAACTATTAGAAGGGAAAAATTAAGCAATTAAAATTAATTAAAATTAAGCAATCTTTATATGCAAGGTAAGTTGTGCACGTTTTTAAATCCATGCATACTGTTTTAAGGCTATAGCAGGAACAACTTCTGCACTGATACTGCCTTGCCATCCACTTCAGGCAGCCTTTCGTGAGCTTTTACAGGAAGAGAGGCAGCAAACGAGTACCTTAAAACCATCATATACTCTGTGTCTAATTTCAAAGCCTTGGAAGTGCTGCCTGCCTATGTTTTCCAACCTCTAGTACCACTCTCACTGTAACATGCACGTTCTTCATTACTCACGGGAGTCTGAATGGGTTGGACTGTTCAGTGAAGCTGATACCAAACAATCTTACTACATGACACAGCTATACTGCAGTTTTCTCCCTTTGTTTAGCATCAGAAATGTACCATATCTGAATAATCAGATATTCAACATACTTCCTCCAAGAAAAGCAGCATGAAAAAGTTTAGAGATGGTAACCACATCTTGGTCAATAATAGAAGGAGAGACAGATTCAATTCTGAGAGCAAAGGTCTTCACTCTCGATTGCTCAAAAATTGCTGGAAGCCTCTACTACACTCTTACTAGTGATTTACAGGGATGAGATAACATAAGGGTCAGACTTAGCACCGACTAAGAACACACATAGCAGCCACCCCAGGCACCTACTTGTAAAAAAGCATAAAGGGTACCGCTGCCGACATTTTTTCAGGCACCTAGTTTCTACATCTGTAGTGTTTGCTTGCCTGTAGCACCATATGACTCTTAAGATACTTGTGACATTTTTATTTACAGAGACTATCACGCAGGATTTTCCAGCTGCAGTGGCACCATGAATTAAAAACAGAATTGCCAGAGGCATATTCAAATTCTCAACTGTTCAACTGTTAATATTGTTTCATTATAAAGATCCACAAAACATTCACCAGTTAACTTTCCTAGAGAAGAATAGAGAGCACCTTTTTCTAATAGCTCTTTCCATTCCACCCCAATTGGTTTGCTCAGTTTAATTATTCATTCTAATTTTCAAGTTAGTGAGGAGTTTTGCTTAAGCAACGATAGTAGAGATAACCTTTGTGCACAGAAGTGTTATAAGTGATATGAGCAGACAGGCCATGCTCCAGAAATAGATACATTCATACATGCTATTTTTTTCTTTTTTTTTTTTTTCTTTGCTGTAAAATTTCACTCGAGTCTTAGCACATACGCACTGGATGCTAAGCACAAAAAGACTGGAGTATTTTCAAAGCAGGGGTGCACAAGATCCATGAAGGAAGTTGTCTCATTTACAAACACATTCCCACAAACCTGCAATTAAAATAGGATTCTCAGAACTCCTGTTTCATTGGGGCAGAGAGCAGCCAAATCTTTCAGAGCTCAGCCCTCATAATTTAGCAACCATTACTGAGAACAGGAGCTCCTGAACCCTTCTGCTCTTCAGAAATCTAGCAATTTACTTCTTGAAGTCTTATCCCTAAGAATTAAATGTGTCAGATTTCAATTTTCATGGTTAATAAAAAGACCAAATTTTTCCACTTAAGAAAACATAATGGACACTGTAGGCAATAGTGTGCTGCGCACAGACTCTGAAGCTAATACATCCCCACAGCACAGCAGTGATGTCTGATAACATTAGCTCATCTCTCACGTACTGCCTACTTGCATCAGCATGGTGCTACAGCTGATGACCTCTTGTTGCCAGGTGGGTTACGCAGTGTGCCAAGCTAAAGACAAATATACTAGTTTGGTTCTTCTAGACTCAGGGTCACATTGGGTATACGAGCACATGAAAACGTGCACTGTGGTGCTTGAAATCATGATATATCATGACAGTAAGATCCTATGTTCTATGGAGCTGTGGCTGAAGGGGGATACACAAAATTCTATTGAATAGCATTCACAAAAGAAGTCATTTTCACAGAGGCCAGGAGAGACAATCCCAGTGATATACAGCCAGAGTAGGCTCGGGCATTAGGATGAAAGTCAGCCTTAACACGGTAACTAAACTTTGTAAGAGAAATATTTATGTGACCAAAGTTCTTTGTTTCATGACTTAATTAGTCACACACTAGCACAAAAATTCAAAGACCTGAGTGGGAAACGGGGAAAGAAATCAAGACCCTGGAAAAAAACCCACAAACATTAGGTAGAAGACGCAACGTCTTGGCAATTTTCCATTCTCCTTCCCTTCCCACAGTCACATTCCCCCCATCCCTCACTCACCATGGGCTAACGGTGTTAAGAGCATTGTGAAGAACAGCAGCTGTGATGACCACATGACTGTGAAGGAGGGCTTGAAAGTATCCCAGCAAACAAGGGTTCAAACAAAACAAGGTGAGTGTCCTTCTGCACTGGTTTTCAACACTTCAGTTATTGGCCTTCAACTCACATCCAAGAAGGGAGAAAAAGCCAATCAAAAATAATAAAAATAATAATAAAAAAAATCCCACAGCCAGTATCCAGAATCTGTGACCTAGAAACAAGAAAGGAAAAAAAAATTCAGTTAGTAAAACACTAAGATAGGTGTTTTCAATCAAGTCTTGCTGCATTTCTCTGCTGCCAACAGCTGCAAAGGCAAACATATCTACCCCCCGGCCCTTCAGATGTTTTTTATGTACAACAGGAATTAAAACTTGTCTCCATGCAGAGTCAGTTTGTGCATCACTAATGCTCCACTTCCTCTCTCAAAACAGGGATTAAGATAGAAGTCTTGAATACAATGCCCATGGGCCCAGGGAGTCCACAGACTTGAAAGGTGACTGGAAAAAGCAAGTCCATATGCTTTGCTCTAAAATCTACATACACAGGAGTTCTAAAACAGCCTGTAACTCCCTTGGAAACATTTGGGTATTTATACATCAGAAGATGACAGAAATTCCATTGCTGAAATGGATTTAACCAGTGCCTAGGCTCTGTGCCTGATCTCTTGCACAGAAATAAATTTCTATTCCAGATATCTCCTTTCCACCCCAAACCCCCAGGTTAAGGGCCTGTTAGTAGAAGTTAGCTCCTGAAAAGCATGCTGGCTAGTGTGATGACAAATCAAACTGCAGTTGTAAGTTCACTGTTTGGTCTAGGCCATATCTGCAAGAAAGCGTGGCAAGTACAGTGCTTCCAATCATGCAACCACAGAATCACCAAGGTTGAAACAGACCATCAAGGTAATCAATTCTAACCACCAAGATGACCTATCAAGTCCCATCACTAAACCATGTCCCCAGATGTCACGTCCATGTGTATCTTAAATACCTCCAGGGATGGTGAATCTATCACTTCCCCGGGCAGCGCATTTCAGTACTCGGTAATGCTCTTAGCATCAAATTTGGACCAGGCTTTGAACCCAAGCAGAGACTAAAGTCCCCCTTACCACGTAGTTCCCACCTGTGGTGACTGCCAGAGACTCAGTCACTTATGTCTACACGAGCTCCGCAGCTATTCGTTGTGGAATTAATAATAATGGTCTATCCATCCCACACTCTTACAGGGAAACACAGGGAAACTGAAGTCCATGCTCGAATAGAAATATTCGCTCATATAATTGCAGAAATAATTCCATCTTCCCATCATTTTAATCTCTCATGAAGGGGCTAGGTGGCCACAGTGACTCAAGCTTGGCAGGAATAAAACAACAACTACACAGAGTTAAGCCATAGCATCAGTTTGAGACTTAGCTCCCTGCTGACTTTGAAATGATGATAAAATATGAGGAACTGTAAAGTACTTTGCATATCTGTTTTGAACTCCCTTGGCTCTGCAGCCTTCACAGCACTGGTCTAATTAAAAATCTCTCCAAAAAATCTCTGATCAACAGAAGTTATTCTTCTCTGAGCAAAGAAGCTGTTTTTGCCAACTTGTGTTCCTACCCAAAACCCAGTTTGAGCCAAAAAAACATATGAAAAACTGCACTGCATGCCATTGTGATGTGGATATATTTCTGAAATTCAGGCATCACAAAGTGGCCTTTGTTTGGCCTCCTCTCTTTGCTGATCAACTAAATCAAATCTCACATTGTTCAGAACCAAAGTCTATAAGGAAGCTGCATTTTTTTCTGATAAGTATATCTGCTTGCTCTGCCAAGATTTTGTTCTCTCACTCTTCTCTCTCACCAGTCTACCCCTGCAATTTGTTCGCTTAAATATAGCATTTAGGGTCTGAAGCTTTTTCTCGGCTCTAACTGTGGTGATTAACAAGCCCAAGGGCAAGAGGAAGGCAAATGGCTTCTTTACATGCAAGCAAGAAATTAAATCATGGCTCAAGCTAGGATGCTAGCCACTAATAACATTTAAATCCTGCTTTCCAAAAGACTCACAAGTATTTTAAATTATATTTTTGAAATACTGATCAAGTTTCCCATTCGAATTTTAGAAAGCTACCAGTACACAACAAACTACCCTGCTGGCCTTCACGTGTGTCTTTTCTACAGTATCATAAAGAGTTTATAAAAGGAAGAAGCTTTTTGTGCTACAAAAATTGAAAAAGTATACACAAAAATGGAGGAAGCAATCAGGTACACTGCCATGAAGGGAAAAAGTTCAGTCAGGGAGGGAAGGAATAGGGTTTGTTTTCTAATTTTTATTTGTTTAAGCTGATTCAAGTTCTGGAGAATCTAAACCTGTCAGAAAGAGATAAGATTATAGTGCACTAAAAACTTTTTGGGTGTAAACTCAAGAAGTCACAAATGATTTATGACACCTATTCCAGAGAAAGGATAATTGTCAATAAATATTTACACTGTAGCCTTTCAAATACTTTTTATCTGTCTGCCTGTATTCCCCTACACGATAGGATTATTTTTTTTCCTGTGGCCTCATGGGCTGAGATTCAAGAAGCAAAACGATTCACGCATCAGTGGTGGGCACAGCCTTGCCCTTAAGTCTGCTCCTGCAGAGACTTCTTCAAACTCTTCAGATTCTTGCATGATGTGGAGCCTAATGAACCCTCAGCGTGCATGGAGAAGTGCTGAAGTTGTTTAATAACATAGAATACTGCTACACAAACCAAACGCATAGTGCTACACAGCTCTGGCTCGTTTCGTACTTCGTTGGTATGATCAAATAATCATACTGTGTCTGTGAGCTGGACGCCTGCAGAACAGTGAGATAAGAAATGAGTGGAGCAATCCTTTTCTTAATGGTCACACAACCCTCTCAAGCAGTGTTTATGAGATGCAGGAAGAAGCCTGCAAAACAAAATTCACTTCATCTTTGGATTACCTCCAGGTAAAAGTACCGCCAAAGAGAGAAACTAGAGCATACAGCTGTGAACTGTTGAGTGCCGTTACATTTATTGATGCAAAAAAGGGCTATACTATCACAGCGAGAAAGTTAAGGGTTACACTTGGCCTAAAGGGTTTGGATTTGAATGATGAAGATGACATGGCATGCATTAATTTACAAGGAAGTTCCTCTGCTCGGTGACCTTCCTGCCCATAGGGCTGCCCCTGATAGCCTCATGGCCTGGACTGCTGCCAAGCATCACCCAAACCTGATCTACATGCTGGCAGTTCTTAAAATCCAACTCAAAGTGGTACTGACAAGATAGGAGAGAGCCAAAGGAAACTGCAGCCTTTTGGTGTAGATGTGCAATGAGGTATTTATGAAGGCATGCCTTCCTGAAAGGATATTATGTATACACTAACCCAACATCTACTCAAAAGTCTCTGCTTTAACAGTTGATGTGAAGCAGCACAGGGAGCATTTTCTGAGCCCATCTCCTGATGGCGTGCAGACAGGGTGAAAAAGATAAGGAAACCAGTTCATCTCCTGTGTGAACAAACAGCATGAAGTTAAAGTAGAATTTAGAGTGGCACAAGTCAAACCTGTCACAAGTCCACCTCATTACTGCCTTCAACCGAACGTGATCATTTGCACTCATACCAAGCAGGATGCTCCCCTTCTCACCAGGCAAAGCTTGCCTGCCCTCCTCTGACACCTGGCATTTTCTCTACCACCATGGTGTGAATATTGGACTGGCACAAGTGTTTCCAATGACATTTAGTAGCAAATGCCATGCAGAAACATCCTGCTTTTCTTGCCTGGTTATGCTTCTCCACTATTTTCTCCCCTCCACTGAAAATGCGTATAGTAAAACTAACTTGAAATTACAAGTCAGCAATACAAGGATTGCTTTACATTCCTTAATAGAAACGATTCCTACGCTTATCTCCTTCTTTAGCATAAGTTGCTTACTACGTAAAAAATAAGTATGATGTTTCAAACAAATATTGATTAAAACCACAAGAACAAAAGCTTGGAAGTAATAAACTCTTTGAAGCCAACAGGCCAAATTGGAACCAAAGATGCAATTCTCCCTTTTCAGCATCTACTACTTGCACAGCAATTTGTATGAGAAATCATTTTCAGAATGAAAATATGCAATCTCTTCAAAAGTGAATACATTAAATGGAATTTAAGTGTAAAAAAAAAACCAACAAACAAGTGAAAGAATGTCCTGCATTGCTGTTCCCATTATGAATGGCTGAACTAAAGAATTGCTTTAACACATTTAGCCATGAGTTATCAGAAAGCACCTCTCAATTTTTTATTTTTATTTTTTGCATCTGCCCATCTCTTTCCATTTTCATACAATTTTCAACCCTTCTCTCAACTCAGCACATGGCTCCACGGTCACTCTGCAGTGACAGCAACACAGCCTATGAGGTAATGATTATACAAGCACTGGTGATGGTACAAAGCCTTGGAAGCAGGGCAGCAGAAGGCTGCGTTGTGGCATTTCAATGGAACCACGAGAACTTGTGCTCCTCCTCCTTCTCTAGACAGCCTGGTCCAGTGGTTGGAGACCCTGCACATAGCTGGGGATTGAAACTAGATGATCATTGTGGTCCTTTTCAACCCAGGCCATTCTAAGATTCTTTGATTCCTAGCCACTCCGAATTGTCTGTAAACCTCCATGCATTTGTATTTGGCCAAAGAAGGGGAAAAAAAAAAAAAAAAAAGCCAGGAGAAAGAAAACCTAAAGGCATTCTGCCCTTTACACCTCTGTTATACCTTATGTAGCACTTTGAAAAGTTACTTTAAAAACCTTAAAAGCAAGAATAGCACCAACATGTACTAACAGTTCCCATTCATTCTAGATTCTCAAATATCACTGCAGCACTACTCACACGCCCCAAGAAGAACTGCCCCCAGCTCATACCCAGCCTCGTTGACCACCTGTTGAGGCTATAATTCAAAGTCACAGAGGACTCTTTAAAAGTACTATGGGACGCACTGCAAAATAACTCAAGCATTAAGTGAGTTAACAAATTTCAGATTAATCTAGCCTTTGGTGAGAGCACACTCAAATACAGACTAGCTAGATCTAGTAGTGGTGTGTTGTCTCTTTATTCCCCTCACATGTGGATGAAATGGAGGCATTTGTTCTCTTCCAAAGGTCAAAGGGGGATTTTCAGCTATCAGCTGCTTGTTAGTTTTCCCACTCAATTCAGCACCAAAGTAGTTTCAGA